GTAGAATATTGGGACGTGTCGAATTGGAGGGAAGGGGCTGGTAGGTGGGCGGCACGAAAAGGCCGAGAAAATCGCAGGCGGAGGACAAAGAAAGAATAAGAGAGAGAGAGAGAGATGAGCGGTATAGCATGAATCTTGGGGCCTTGCTTTTGCCTGGTCACTACTGACGAACTCTTCCTCGTCTTGTCAATCTGTACCTGAGCTTTTTGCCAGCCAACGTCCCCGTTAATTTTTCTTTCTTATCTTCTAATATTAATAGGGGATAATTACACCAGGGGCATTATCGTAAAATGTTGCTCACTTGATTTGAAACTATACCCCAATTTATTATTTCTTTTTTAGAAACTATACCCTGTAAATTTATGAGTCGCATCATATTTGGATGTGAATTTAATGAGTCAGATATTCCGTGTTATATAAAATCTCTATAAGCTGCAAAAATAATTTACGGTATAATTACATATTATAAATTGTTACGTATATGTATAATTACGTACAATTATATATTGTAAATTCATTAGATACGATACGTAATTATATTATATTGGCTCACTAAACCAATTTAAATGTTCGTTTCATGAACCTCTTAGGGTATATTTATATTTTCTTACGGTTTGAGGATTATGCAATAACAAATCATACTCACGGTTTGTATTTTGTTTCCAAAACTACCCCTAACCGTTGAACATAATCACATGTAAAGCCTAATTGGATTAGCAACCGTAGATAAGTTGATTCAAGGTAATAATAGATCAGATCGTGTGGTTCAAATTGCGCTATAGATATAACTGCGTACATGGAATTTTGTTGAAGCGCACAGATTCCCTCTTATGTCAGTCACCGACTCACTTGTGTACTACATATTCATGAACCTCCAAATCTCAAGACGATAGAGGTTCCTTCAACATAATGATGTTGCTCTTGCTCCTGTCGTTTTGAAGCAAAAATATATCGTCTTCCCATAATACCCTTACAAAGTTGTTCCTATTGGCCTATTTAACAAATCAATAATGCACTTTTGCCTAACAAAACAACCAATGTCCTACGATTATTGAGGAGTCCTTTTTCACCCCCTTCACCCTTATGTTAACAATGTGAGAGCTCGAGTGCTCGTGGGCAGTGGTAGAGTCATGAATTTTATTAAGGAGGTTCAACTTTAAATAGCTTTATAATTACAATAAACTTAATTTTTATAGAAAAATATATTTCAAAATTCATTATAATGATTAAATTTCAATATCACAAATTTAATATCTTAGTAAATATAACCCAAAATCTAGCAACCTAAAAATAATGAAAGAGTATCAAAAGTTTATTTTATATAAAATGAGAAAATCAAATAAAATACATGGCATACACATATAAATGACATATGAAGACATGAGAACAAATATAGATGATATTCATGTTCATTATAGACAATTTACATTTGCAAGAAGGGTCAACAATAAGTATAGCCATAAAAAAAAACTTAGATAACATAGATAGATATAAGGTTTTCAAAATGTTTAGAAGGGAAGTGATCCTTATGGGCCTTAATTGGCTACACCAATGCTCGTGGGACTTACTATGTGGATCGTATGTTATGGGTTTTAATTAAGCATAGGTTAGTGTCACAAACATGCAACATTTGGTATTTGGAGCGCAATGAATTCATTATGCGCATTGTAGAACTAATTTTCTTTGAACAATATGTGGAGCTAAAGCATATGGCTAGGCTTTTTTGTCAAACTCGGAAAGTCTAAAATATCTGAACAATGAACTGCGATTTAACATTTCAAACATAATGAGGTATTATATATGATATTATTCTCTTTCTCAAAATTCTTCAAATGCCACCACAAGACTTTGGGGCAAAATTCAAAATTAAAAGGAAAAAAAAAATTTCCATAAAGCAGAACTTTATAGAAGTATCACTTGTCAGTCTTGTCTGTAACGATTTCGGAATTGGACGAAGCAGAACTCAGCTTCTGTGGTGTGTTTTCATCCACCGATTCTTCCATATCTTCAGCTGTCACTTCCTGATCAACAAAATAGTAATAATAATTAATTAATTAATGTTATAATTAAAAGAAACCAACACATCTTTCAGTCAATTTCAAAACCACGACTTCAAATCTGATGAAGGAAATATTGGAAATGTGATTTACCTGCGCTGTCGATTCAATTTCAGTGGCCTTCTTTTGTTGCTCCTTCTCTCTCAGCGATCGAATCGGAGACACTCTCTGTTCCAAAAGACTCAAATTAATAAATCCATACAAATGAAACAAAAAAAGAAAAAGAAATTCATATGAAGTATATGCAATCGGAGCTTACAATTGATCGAGTATGGAGCTGGTTCAGCCTGTAAATCCTATCAAGCTCGATCTCAAGTATCTTCTGAATCTGGCCTCTGCTCTCGAGCTCCTTCATCTGCATCTCCATCACCAAATCTCTTTCCTTGAGCATCTTCTCCGTTCTCTCCCCGTCCAATCTCAGCCTCTCCATCTTCTTCCTGATTGCGCTCAGCTCCTCCGCCAGGGACGCGTCGATCGGCTCGAGCATCTTCGTCGGAGTCGGGTAGATCGGACGGTTCTCCTTGTTCGAATCATCGTCAACGCCTATCCATTTCTGCACCGGCTTGAGTTTTGTAAGATTGGAGTTCACCGGAGTCGCCGGAGTGTTCCTCGGCTGGAGAGGCTTCCTGCCGCATTTTGGCAGGAGAAGCTGGTCTCCGGTGAAGGGAGATTGTAGCGCTTGCATTTCTTTACTCTCTCTCTCTCTCTGAAAGATGCTCGGCAGCAATTGAGTTGTTATCTGCTAGAGATAAAGAAGAGGGAGAGCTGTTTGAATTTGAAAGTGGAGAGGCGCTAAGTGCTAACGGCTACAATTTTGCTTACAGGTTTATTTATAAATAAGCTTCAGATTCCAACTGTGTTTGTTTAATTATTTATTATTATTTTCAGGAAATGATTGCGTGCCAATCAATACGTCCGACACGCTCATGGGTAGGGCCCCCCTCATTAGATACATCCTATCCTATCGGGAAACGACGAGAAATTATGGGGACGCAAACACAATATTTGAAGCTTCGTTTGGATGGACGGTGAAGGATAAAGACGGTAATTTTGAACAGGTAATACGGAGGGTAATGTAATTTTAAACAGAGAGAGCAGTTTGCTCTAATTAAGGTTTTCTTCTCCATCCATGTCACGGATTTCAAGAGTCAAACGGTGCGTTTGACTGGTACACTGCCTTCAATCTGTTCTGCTGATAAAGTTGAATATCCTTTTCTTGTTCCAAGGAATTACTTGAGAATTGAGATCAAAACGAGTATTTGTAGGTTGGATTAAAATATGGACTAAGCAACATGACATTTATGTTGGAATCTATTCACCCAATTTTCAAGCTTATATTTTACATATGAATGCATTACAAAGGTGAAACCTAGGCCAATCTTATGTATATTACAATAAGGTAACAAAACCGCCAGGATTAGAAGTAATCCATTGGGAGGTCCCAATCATCATTGATCTTGCTTTTCCTGGAATTGAACTTCTGGTTGCCAAAGCTTCTTCTTGTATGCTTGTCCGATCGTGCAGGTCTTTCGAAATCAGAATATTCGTCAAGTTCATCGATGGAAGTCGCAACATTTTGGCTGTCCAAGAAACCCTGTTTTACAGATAACCAGAAATGGTCACATGATTTCCAGTGTAAACTTCTGTTGCTTGCATGCTTTATTTTTTATACCCTCTTAATAATTTCAAGCACCTTAGTCTAGTGAAGATAGAAGGCGTTTTATCAGATTTGAGACAACAGCCAATGATACTAAAAACGCAACCAAGGTGCTAATCAGGCAGAAAAATAAAGCAAACTCCAAATCATGACTAGTGGACTGGTTTTATAGTGAAGAAAAAGAGAGTACCTTGGTCAGCCTGTGTATGCGTGAAGCTGCAGCTTCATGCACAATGACAGCATCAGATACAACTTCCAGCACATCTTCAACAAACAAAGCATAAGTACTCACCTGAAATTGTAGAAAGCCGATGGAATTAGAATTTGTGCAAGTAGAATGTTGTTCAAAAAACACAGAATATATCAGAAAAATCCCTTGACATGCAAGTCCTTCTAATTAAAATGGAAGGAATTTTCAAATATTCAGCCTTTGCAGCATTGATGTGCACTATTTCCTCTACACCTACCAAACTTGATGGGATAATGGAAATCCCAAATGAATCAAGCTCAAGTGATTCCACAGCCCCTGAATTGATGTTAAAACTGTATCCTCGAACCTAGAAATGCATCATGAAACAAGTTAGAAGTTAAAAACGTAGGTCAATGGGTACAAGAAGCTGGAATATTAAAGAGACTCACCTTTCCCATAGTTCGTCGACCCGGTGTTACAACTTGGTATCCTACCTAGCAAAATCACAACTTAATAGTAAAATGTGGATACTAAAAGTTATAGAACAAAATACACCAAGAACCTTTACATAGTGAGCATAAGCAGAGCCTTGGCCCTCTTGGGAAGGGTAATCAGGATATTGTCCTAACATTTAGCATGTAGTAAAACAAACTAACCCACCACATTTACTTAAATCAGAAGCTAAAAATCAACACATGCAGAAACCGAACACAGCGATGAGTACCCTAAACCAAGGGACAATAAAAATGTTATAAGCAAGCAAATACAGTTTGGCTATATATAAGAGACGAATGAACACACCAATGTTTCCAGTCCAGCAATTTTAAATTCATTCTCAACCACACTCTCGTCCTCCACAAGCACAACATCACCAACCTGCAAACAATCACAAATTGAACACCTTTTATATGTAGGAGGATAATGTACTTATAAATACAATCAAGAAATATACACAAGTGTCAAGCAAAATGTACCTGAGTAATATCGTCGAGGAGAAAACGTTCAGATTCCCCAGAAAGCAAGTTTCGCTTCACTTCTACAAACATTACCATCCACTGAAGAAAGAATTTATAAGTTTAACTTATTAAAGCAAGCAATTTTTTTTTCCCTCACAAATTGGCAACAACTTGATCAAGCTAACGACTTTTTATCAAACAATATGATAATTGATAGTTTATTACTTACAGAGTTGGTGTTGACCCAAAGCTGTGAAACAAATCCCAAGCTGAGAGCACTTCGGATGCTGATCACTTGCTTTGCAAGAATATTGGACCTCCTCATCACCTGCCTCCCTTTTCTTAGCCCAACTTTTCCATCAATGTGCTTCAACCCCTCCTCATTTTCCAGCCCATCACCACCTGCACCCTCCATTCGAACCCAATTCTCATTTTCTAAGCTCTCATCAGTCTTTGTACTTTGCTTCTCATCCCCCAGACCACCCTCCGATTGCAGAAAATCTGAACCCAATGAAGCATTACCTTCCTTACTGGGATCAATCCCATTTTTCTTTGCCGCATCGCTTGGTTTTGCTTCGAGGTCGAAAAGGTTTTCCCTTTTCTCCTTGAACCCTAATTCAGCGCCAAACCCAAAATCCTCTAAGGGATTCTCGCTCGCTCTTCTGCGGAAGACCAAAGACCTACCATTTCTAAGACATGTTATGTCCAAATTTGTGAAATTTGATAGCTTCAAACAATTTGGGATGTAAAAGTAAGGATGTGGTAGCCTCTGGGGTCTCTGATTGGTTCTGCAAAACCCTAATTGTCGAAATTTTGTGACAGTAAAGGATAGGGGGCTGGAGGGAAGACAGTCACACATGGTTTACTCAAAATACTCGACAACCAACGGAATTAGTTGTTGATTGAAGACGAAGTCGTTTGTAGCTGTAAGTAAACGACAAGTCGTTTGTTGTGTTTTTTAAGACATGAGTTCAAAACTAGTGTTGACTTAATTATAAATTACTTTTGCAATAAATAAATAAATTTTGGAATCAAATTAGGATTAGGTTTCAATTCAATTAGACATATAATTCAACTAATTAGGCCTCATTTAGAAATGATTTTGGAGATGCCAATAATTTTTTAATTTTATGGAAAATCACTTTGTCAAATAATCATTTTAACTAATTTTAATGAATTTTATGAAGAAGCATATGAGAGATGCTTATCCCCATAATCACTAAAGTGATTATATAGAGAAGTACGTAGAAGTTGCTTCTTCCCAAAAGTGATTCTAACCCATACATAATAACTCCCAAATGAGCCCTTAATCTACTTGGATTATCCTTTTTTTTTTTGGTATCCATAAAAAGATAAAGTAGGATATGAATGAAGATTGAAAATGGAGATACAAAATGTTTTCCACATACAAGGTGGTACCAAATACAACTTTGGTCAAATGCGTTATATTTTTTATATATCATATAATGTTTAAAGTATTAATGCACAAAAATCAATGTTTAAAACCAATTTGAATTAAACTGTATTCTCATTGAGAAATTCATCTGTCAATCCAAAATGTCATTTTTTAAATTTTTTTAAAAAAAATCATTGAAGCCGACCAAATTGAATGAATTGATCACTTCTTCAACATTTTAATTGATATATTCATACTCCACTCGTATTTTGTGCATATAGAAGTTCAAGAAGACACTCCTTTTTGGAATGCATATGTAATATTGTGTATATTTTATTCATCTCTAGGAGAGGGGGGGATTACAATAATTTTTTTCTTCAATAAAGAGAAATATCATTGGATTAAGAGGTGGCTAATATATAATATTTGCATATTTAATTATTGGCACAATAATTAGTATGAAAAATGTTAATTTAATAACTAATAAAAGCATCTCAAACTGATATGTCAAATTGTCACATGGATATGAAATGACAAAAATTGAAGGTTAAAGTTGCTTATTTACTATATTTTAGAACTTTATGCATCATATGAGCCCCGTTTGCTTTTAAAATATAATATTTGACATTTCAGATAGAGTTAAATTTTTTCCAAAACGTCAAATTGCCACATAAGCCATCAAATTCAAATTTAACATTTTGCGTTGATGCCTCCCTTGAAAATGCTCTAATTCACATAAGGTTAAAACATAAAGATGCATCACACCTAGCTTGAAAAAAATGAGAGGTTGTTATTATTATTTTAATGATTAAAAAGGAAAGATGATAGGATTTGTTGGATGTAGATAGGATGCTATTTGTAGTTATCATTTTATTCTTTAATCTTTAAATACATTATTAAAATTGTTTATACATATGAATAAGAATGTAATCCATCTATTTCTATATAATAAGGTAACACAATAAGTTTTTTATAAATAAAAAAATTAAATAAAATGAAAACCAATCGGAGACGCATTGGCAAAGTTGGCGTGCAAAGACCAAAGTACAAACCAATCCGGGAAAAGCATATTCCCAATTAGGTTCACGTACCTTTAAAAAGTAGAATCATATGCAAATTGGCAACTCGTCCATTGTCCAATAATGTCGCACCACGTGTCAGCGTCAACATTCGGAGAACCAAAAGAATTGGCTGGTAAATATAAGTGGCGAAGCGACCCCTACGCTTGAGGATTCGTGAAAAAGAGACGTTCCAAAAGTCCATTTTTCCTCTTCCGCTTTGTCCCTCCGCTCCGTCTGCACCCTTCCCAGGTAAGCAATCTCTCCTCCTAATCTTCTCTCCATGTTATTTTCGTCATAATTGGAGTTCCGTTTCTGTTTGGTTACCGAGAAACGGTAGGAAAAATAATAGAAAGTCTAGTTTTTAGCCTGAACAGCCTGGTTTTAGATCTAAAGTTTGGTTCTTTGCATTACTTTGTGTTTATATCATTACACCGAAATCAACGAATTGCTGCTGGTCTGTTTTGAGATCTAGTCATAGTTAAGATGAATTGCTTTCGTTTTGTCCTGACTATGGCGGGCTATACAACCTTCGCCTGAAATCTAAAAGCTTGGCCTTCTCCTATCTCCGTTTCACAATTTTGGGCTTTGTAGGATCTCCAATTATGCTTTTTTACTGTAATGTGTTTTGCTTTGCGCATTAGTATTTGTTCGTCTTATGTATTTTTTTTACGCTTTAGCTTTTGTTCTGATAAAAGGGCATCTCGAATCCTCCCTAAACTTTTCCTCCAATCAAGTTAAGTTTTTGTGATTCCCCAAACTCTTCCCAAATCAAAATTTGGGTTATGGAGGGAAAGAACAATTAAGTAAAGGGATATTCTTAGGATAATATAGGAATTTTCAAAAAGTTTTGCAGAAAAATTGAACTTTCCCAATGAAGTGATCCCAAGTATTAACCAATGGACTTTCACTCAAATTTATACTTGGCTTTACATGTTCAAACTCGTTACCAGTGAAAGAGTTCTGCTTCACCTCATTTACATAATAACACAGGTTAAATTAATATCATAGTTGACTTTTGGATTCTTTTCTATGAATGTCTCTATTTCAGTTTGTTTCTTTTACTTAAATTTTGTTGTGAAGATCGTGATATCATAATAGAGAAGCATATTTGTTTCCGAGGTTTTTTTTGGTCTCACAGCACTAACTAATCCTTGTATTTGGTCTTGAACTCAGATCTGATAGCTTAATCTTCATGAATTCAAGAACTACTGAAGTATCCGTGTTTTCCTGTAAATCGGGAAACAGAAACAACCCATTCTTCATCTGGATTTTGTTCTGTTTATTGCCAAAATTCCAAGGAACTCCTTTTGCATTCGTGAGTTTCCTATTGGTTAAGGCAATTGACAGGAGTCCTTCTGGAGCACTGGCCTTTGAGACTTTTGGGTAGATAAATCCATAGCAGGGATCAATTCAAGTGTCTGTCTGAAGTTAGCATCCCTGCTCCATACTTGAAAAATGGTTTCCTCTCAGCTACCTGGCTTGACCAAGGCCCGCATTTGCAAAGCAATTCAGACAAAGTTGCTTTTTCCTATGGATACAATGGATGCTGTAGTTTCAGATCATGTGGAGCTTGATTTTGATGATGTTTTTGGCCCTCTACCAGTTCAGGCCTCTGTAGAAGTGAATTATGGTGATTCGGCTAATTCTGCCGCCATCGAAGATGCCACTGAGCTTATTTATGATAATCCAGTGGTAATTCATAACCGATCACATTCTTTGGTTGGTCCCTCATCGTTTGTAAGCCAATCATTGAAGCTCAGCAAACTGACTATAAGTGACACGGAAGATTCAGTGGAACTGGTAGAGTGTGTCAATGGAGATACCATCAAAGAATTTCAAGAATCTTTAATTGATGATGGTGTCACTGAAAAGACTCTTGAAAATGATGAGGAAATCTCCATGAAGATCGAGAGTGTGGGCATTGAAGATTTTGAGGTTTTGAAGGTTGTTGGGCAGGGTGCATTTGCAAAAGTATACCAGGTGAGGAAGAAAGGGACATCAGAAATTTATGCAATGAAGGTCATGCGGAAGGACAAGATCATGGAGAAGAATCATGCTGAATACATGAAAGCTGAGAGGAATATTCTAACAAAAATTGATCATCCATTCATTATCCAGCTTAGATACTCATTTCAGGTAATTCCTGCCTGACCCTGGAAGTTAATTCCAATTTTCATTTTCTGGTGTGGCTTTCATTTTTTAGGATTATGAGCATCCCTGTCCCCAAAAAATGTCTTATGCATTTGGAACTATATCTTCAAAAGATACTGTGGAGCAATATATTTCATCTCAATGTGCTGATTTGGTGACTTTCTTGATGATGGCTAGAGTACTAACTTAATTTATTTTGTTATGCAGACCAAATATAGACTATATCTCGTGCTAGATTTTGTTAATGGTGGTCACCTTTTCTTTCAGCTCTATCACCACGGTCTATTCAGGTACCTTTGGTTTCAACTTCCAATATTTTGTGTTATTTTCTGAGCTCAAAGATTTAGACACTTTATACTTAAGTTTTTCTCCTTTCCAGAGAGGAGCTGGCTCGAATATATGCTGCTGAGATTGTTTCTGCGGTTTCTCACCTCCATGCAAATGGAATAATGCATAGGGATCTTAAACCTGAAAATATCCTATTGGACACAGATGGCCATGTACCTCTCCACCTCCCTCTGTTGAGTATTGTTCTATAATTTGCTCCCAATGAATTGTAACTGACATCATGATCACTGATTTATTAAGCAGGCCATGTTGACTGATTTTGGTCTTGCGAAGCAACTTGAAGAGAATACAAGATCTAATTCTATGTGTGGAACTGTAGAATACATGCCACCCGAAATAGTTCTTGGAAAGGGCCACAATAAGGCTGCAGACTGGTGGAGTGTGGGAGTCCTATTGTTTGAGATGCTAACTGGAAAGGTTTGGATTTATTCATTTTGTTCGTATAGATTGAGATGATATATAAATATACAGATGTGATTGAGAGCAAGAATTTCTTGATGGTTAAGTCAAATTCTAACTGAATGTGCAGTCAACAATCATTATATGCATATAATACATGTAGATATTAAAATTAGCATATTGGAAAGCTGGTGTTTATTGAATTTAATATTGTTAGGAGGTGATCCGAGTGTTCTTTTTATGCTGTTGTAATATATTTTGTATGCGCTTTTTGTGTTGGACATCTTCTTCTTCTTCAGTAATATATATTTCGTCTTTTCAAAAGAGGAAAGAGAAATAAATAAATAAAAGTATTATCTGTCTTTTGATTAGGTGACACATACACAGACATGCATTTAAAGAGAATTTTGTCCATAGTGTTTAAGGACCCTAGAAGTTGGAACATTTAGTTATATCATGTAACGTGAAACATTTTTCTTTGCTCTTGCTTCTGCAGCCTCCTTTTACTGGGAACAGGGAGAAAATTCAGCAGAAGATAGTTAAGGAAAAGATCAAGTTGCCATCCTTTCTGTCCAGTGAAGCACATTCTCTGTTGAAAGGGGTATATAATCTTTGTGCTTGTTTTTATCTTGGGTTGTAGGAAATAGGCAATGTTGATCCTGAGTGTCTGTTTCGAGCCTTCCTCAGTTCATGTTTTTAGTTGACTGAGAACTCACTTAACTTGGTTATGTTTTCAGCTCCTACAGAAGGATGCAAGCCACCGCCTTGGTAGTGGGCCTTTGGGGTGTGAGGAAATCAAGCGCCACAAATGGTTTAAGCCAATAAATTGGAAAAGATTAGATGCTCGGGAAATCCAACCAAGCTTTCGTCCTCAAGTTTCCGGGAAGCAGTGCATTGCCAATTTCGATAAGTGCTGGACTGACATGTCAGTTGTGGATTCTCCAGCTGCTAGCCCGAATGCTGCTGGAAACCCCTTCACCGGCTTCAGTTATGTTAGGCCTGCGGCCTCTTTTCTTCAGAAGAATAGCCCCATGTACTAGCACGTGTTGCCCCAAGATGCAAGTTTTCGAGCTCTGTTTTCCTTCTCGCATTCTTAATGATGAAACTTTGTAAGTTGCTTGAAAAAAGCTGTAGCCAAGTGAGGGAGGTTTATCTTAGCAGTCTTCTCTTGAGACTACACAATCTTAAAACCATTGCAGACACATTTCCTGAACTCTGAAGCTTGTATGTTTTTTGCTGAAATAAATGAGTATTAATATATCCACATTTTAATTTAAGTTTGTGACAGATTTTGGTAAATTTCCCTTATGTAATGCCCTCTTGCCAATTCACATTTTAAATTAATCTTCGTTCCCCAAGGTATAAATAATAAGAATAATATTAGTCTTACCACATTTTTTATACCACAATTTTATACCACATGATGTGGCGGCTGATGTGTACGTACTACATCATGTAAAATACTAGTTTCTGTTTTTCTAATTTTCTTTATTAAAATACACTTAGAAACCTTTTTTTTTGGTCGAAAATTCCATTTAAAAACTTAGGAAAGTGCATTTGGGGAAGGGAAATTTCACATGTGGATAAAGCAAGGGACGCGTGTCAAAATTCCAGCCTTTGCTGACACTTCAGCTGGTTCTCCCACAAAACAAAAAGTTCATCGTTCACAACATAACCTCCATAACCATGGCTTATCTGCCCTCTCCAAGTCTAACAACACTTAAACACAATCCTAAGCCTACATGCTTCTCTCCTTTAAAACCCACTTATTCTGACCATCTTTGCTTCATCACAACCCAATTCAAAAGCCACCCTCAAAGGTGCAATGCATTCTTTGGTGACAATATCCCTGGAAATGTTTTGAAGACGACTCTCCATTTGGACCAATTTCCTCCTTTTCAATATGGTTACATGCAGTTTCAAACAGCTACAGAGGAACTCTCAGAAACACAGAAGTGGGGTTTCCTGATTTTTGCTGGGATTACATGGATATACTTAACTGCAAGACCAGGTATTCTCATAGGTGCCATTGATGCATACCTTCTTGCTCCTCTGCAATTGGTTTTGGATAGTTTGATTGGAAGGAGAAGGTTGAAGAGTACTGATTTTTTGATTGGGGACAAGTTGGGAGAAGGGTCTTTTGGTGTTGTTTATTCTGGTGCGGTTGTTCCAAAGAATGTGAATGTTGAAGAGACGGTGCAGAAGAGAGGGAAGGGCAGAGCTCCACGGTTGGATGAGAGGTTCAAGGAGAAGGTCATCCTCAAGAAGGTAGCACTGTAGATTTCGTGCATTTTGATTGACCCTTTACTTGTTTATCAATGTTTCTGTGATGTGTAGAGAGATTAATATGATCTTTTAGTTATGGAAATATGCAGGTGAAGATTGGAGTTCAAGGGGCTGAAGAATTTGGCGAATTCGAGGAGTGGTTCAATTACAGGTTGTCTAGAGCAGCACCTGAAACATGTGCTGCGTTCCTGGGAAGTTTTGTTGCTGATAAAACAAGTTCTCAATTTACGAAGGGTGGAAAGTGGCTTGTTTGGAAATTCGAGGTACTAAAACCATTTTAGGATCACTCATTCAAAAATCTAAAGCTTCCCACGTTTATGTTATATATGGTGTTCAAGAACTCAATGGTATAATTATATGTGCCTTTGACGCCTTCATCACACTAATTGTCGGGATGTTCATGTGACAGGGAAACCAAACTCTTGCCGATTACATGAAAGATAGGAAATTCCCTTTTAACTTGGAGTCTGTCATGTTCGGACGTGTCTTGCAAGATGTAGACTCTGTCAAACGCAGTGCATTGATCATCAAGCAAATAATGCGTCAAATTATTACTTCGCTCAAGAAAATCCATGACACGGGCATTGTTCACCGGGACGTAAAGCCAGCAAACTTAGTAGTGACAAGAAGGGGACAAATCAAGCTCATAGACTTTGGGGCAGCCACGGACCTCAGGATTGGAAAGAACTATGTACCAGACCGTACCCTGCTAGATCCTGACTTTTGTCCTCCTGAACTATATGTGCTCCCAGAGGAAACGCCAGTTCCCCCTCCAGAGCCCATTGCTGCATTTCTTTCTCCAATTCTTTGGCAGGTAATACAGTTTCAACCCTTTTATATGCGATGTCAAGCATATAAAAATTCCGCTGCTTTACTGGAGGTATATGGATATAGCAATATAGTGACTGTTGGATCTGCATTCAATTTCAGTTAGTAAATCTGTATGAATTCTTGGGGGTACTCTTATGCATGAATTCTTGTTTTAAAGCATGCAAAATCTGTTTGCTAGATGAATCAGACTTTGAAATTATTGTTGCAGCTGAACAGTCCCGACCTCTTTGATATGTACTCTGTTGGAATTATACTATTGCAAATGGCAGTACCATCCTTAAGGTCTTCAGCAGGGTTAAAGAATTTCAATTCAGAAATAAAAACAGTTAAGTATGACTTGAATAAATGGAGGGACTATACTCGGTTGAGGCCTGACTTGTCACTTCTTGATCTCGATTCGGGTAGAGGGTGGGATCTGGCCACAAAGCTTGTGTCAGAGAGAGGTTCCCTTAGAAGGGGGCGCTTATCAGCGGCAGCTGCTCTGAGGCATCCTTACTTCTTGTTAGCTGCTGACCAGGCAGCTGCAGTTCTTTCAAAATTAAGTTTTACCAAATAGTGTGCTGCTTCAAGATGTAAGTATATAATAAAGTTTGTTTCGTTGTCCAAGCATAGAGAAGATTTTGCTCAAGTATTTTCTTTTGACTTGTCAAATATCGTTAACTTTTTCTTTCCCTTTTGTTTTTTGTTACAGCATCACAAGAATGGAGAGACTCACAAACAAGCAAGCCCTTGCCTGCGCTGCGTTCATGGTTGTTGCCATTTTTGCACCTGGTGACCTTGGGGGTTTGCTTCCGTTCCAAGTTAACAGGCCAGTGGACTGTGGATGCAATACAAGAGATTACAATTTTATAAATGTTTTTCGTTGCCGATAATATTAATTTATAGCAGAGGAGGTTCGATCCCACTTTGTTAATCATTACTATTAATCTCTTGTAAAAAAAAAAAAGAGGGAAGCTCATTTATGCTACGAGCAAGTAACAAAATCATTTCTTTTGTGATCAACATTGGTTCACAACAAGTTCACAAATTTTACAAATCTTGTAAGTCCATTTCTACAGACTATTTTGAGTTGACACAAATTTCAGTTTGTACGAGCTTTCAACATATTTAGCACCTGATCAATATTAGACTTTCCCGCCTAATCCTGACCAATTGCCCCATCATCAATCCGGCAACTAATTAATAACCCAATGACAACACGACACGTGGACCAATGAAAAAAATATATTGCTTTTACCGACTTTACCAGTCGTATCCTGTAGCGTTCAGAGAAAATCGAAAAACACTTGTAGATGAGAAAATGCAACAATCAGAAGAGAAGAGAATCCAAAAACCTGAAGGGAAGAGAGAATCGAAGACTCTGCAACAATGGAAAAGGTATATCCTCTAGCGTTTCTTTCTTGTCTTTGAGCGTATGGGTTAGTCTGCGTCGGTATGGGGTCTAGTCCAGGTGGGTCCGCGTTGCCTTCTGGTGGGTCCTGTGGGTCCCCATGGGTTCTGTTGGTCGTAGGTCACTTTTTTGGATGGATTTGGGTTGGTGGGCTTCAGGTGGTAGGGTTGGAGAAAAAGGTTGGGGTTCTAGGTCTTCGGTTCTTTTATTTTCTTTCTTCCTTGCTAAAATTCTAACTCAAACATCGCAAATTTTAGGAACCATCAACACCAACTAATGCCTTACTTGATTTGAAAAATCTATATCCCCCTTCTCTCGACTCTCCCGAGGTACATTTCCTGTACATTTTTCTATTAATTTGTTTGTAAATTTTTATGTAAATTTTTATTTCTAATGTAATGAGTTTGATATCTTGTCTAACTCTCACGATGCCGCATTGCTTTCCTTAGGTGTGCTATACGCCTCTCTTGAGGAAATTCGTGCTTCTCCTAAGGAAAGTGAGGAAATTCTTGATGCTCTAGTGCTGAGGGCTTTTCTAAGGGAAAGGGACCGTGGGCTGGAAACATCGAAAAAGACAATAGCAAACTAGGAAATACAACTCGAAAATGCATGGAACCTTTCTCTCCATTTTACGTACTTAAAATAGTTGGTTTCTCTCTGTTTGTCTCTTATGTTTCTCCCATTTCAGGTCATTGATATGTACATGAAAGTTTCAATTGGAGAGAATCCCTATTCCACTATTGCTATTGGAGAGCCTTTTTGTAAGCCGGCTGTCAGTGATGCTACAAAGGAGTTTGAAGAAGAAGAGGCTGACAGTGATGCTGACAGTGGTGGGGAGCTTTAGAGGTGGGTTCTTGTATATATCAGTTTATGGTAATCGCTTGTTATCAGTTTGCACATTTGTGTAGTGACAATTATAGCTTTAGAGGTGGTTTGTTGTTGATATCAGTTGCTGTTGTTCCTAGCTAGCTATAAATTGGTTCAAAAGCTATTCTCAGTTGGGCGAATTGGCCAACTTATTACGGACCAAACAACGAGCCTCACTTTTTTTTGGGAGTAATATACAATTTGCTTGACACCCAAAAAAAAGAGTGAGAGAATAGAGGGAGGGAAGACATAAGTGTGCCGTGATACTCGAGTGAGAAAAGACACGAGGGACATGAGTGTACGAACACGAAGGATGAAGGCCATGAGTGTGGCTTGATAGGGAGGATGAACCCCTCCTAGCTTTGGGTCGGATGTTTTGCAACAAAGCATTTTGGCCTCATGTTTGCTTTCTTCTTCCTTTTTTTTTTTCCTGAGAAGACACTCGAGCAATGCAGAGACTGTCTCCGAGTCACACTGAAAAGTTTGAGATTTTATTTTATGTTCAAAGGCTCAAAAGCCTTCACAAAAACCAAGTTTTCATCGATTTCAAATTTTATTTTAGCATTTTGACCAACTTCAAATTAAACCTTGATTCTCTAATGTCCAAGACATTACTTCTAATGAAAACCAAGATGTGCTGAAATATATACAAATTTGCAGCAAGAAGCTAATTAATGGGTATTTGTATTTCAAAAAGAAAAGAAGAAAAATAAAAATAAAAAAAACTAATGTGTAGCCTTCAAGTCGAGTTTAGTGGACCTCAGATCGGGCCCCACGTCTTTGACCCATGAAATGGCAGTCAACAACTTTAGAAGGAGAAATTGTGAGATACTTTACCAGAAATTTCTCACTGCTTAGCATAACCTACTCTCTAAGTTTATTCTAATGTTAATAAAAGAGATCCTAAAATTCTAATTTGGCCACCGCTAATCAATCCATTTTAGATGTTCAATGTGCCTCCTCTTCACCGATAAACTTTCATTTGTGTTCAATGTAGAGTTTAGGTTTGTAAGAAGATAATAAATAAACAAAAATTAATCAATGAAACAGACTAAAAAAAACAATGAGAGATGCATTGATAAAATATTAATGAAATCATCCAACCAATCACGACACAAATTACCAAGAAATCCAAAAACGAACCACCAAAACGTTTACATCAAGTAATTAAACAAGTCGAGCTTTAACGGATGTCGATGATGATCCTCCCATCACAATGCGCAGTCTCTTCTTGCATGACAGGGGCTTTCCCTCGCAAGAGAAGACCCGTCCATCGCGAGAAACCCACCCGTTGCGGCGGCTCTCCAGATGAAGCCTGATATGCTTCTTAGGGTAAGCTATATGCTCAAAAGTGCTTGGAAAGTAGACAAACCAGTCGTCTCCACTCTTCCTAGTAATGATGCCTGCCCACCAACCGTCGTTGGCGAACGCAACAACCCTCTCGCCTGGAAAAAGTCAGGCCAAACTTTAGGGCACACAGGCCGGACCTCGTCCACCTCCGCGATCTCTTCCAGAGCGGTGGACATATCATCCTCCTCCACCAGGTTCTTGTACTTCACCTTATACTTGTCCCCCAAGTTTTCAATTACAGTTGCTTCATAATACGAACCGCGAAACCCGTCTTGCTTGCTGACTGATCAAATTAATTTGCTGTTTCATTTTCTACGTATAGATTTGTTATTAAGCTTCGTTATAAACCACACATTGATATATGTAGTATCCAAATATATATATTATGATTCTATGAACAAATGTTTCTTTTTTAATTTTAACTGGACCAATCTTCATGGATTTTTTATTTTTTTTTATTTTTTTTATTTTTGATTAAGTGGGATCTTCATGGATTTTCATATACAGATGTACACACATAATTAAGAAATGACAACAATTCAAAGCATATAATAGTTACAGATCATCATAGTATAATGGGAATGTCTCTAGTGGATTCTTCTTCCTGCAGCCCCAGTGGCTTTTCCAAGAACATCTAGAGTTGAAGAGGGCAAGTCTTGTGGAGTGAAGGGCTATGATGTTTGATGTTGAGGGAGATTTCGAAAGAATGATTGCGTACCCGTCATCCATGTAGTCGGTTCCTTCAGGGAAGAGCTGCCACAAAAGACTCCCACCTCCGCTCCCTCCTTTCTTAGTAGAGTTGAGGATGGTCTTATACACTGTGCTGAGAAGGGTGTCCCTAAACGATGAATTGTAGCCGGGGTCTTTCGAAGACACACCAAACTCCGAAAACACAACCGGCATCCCAAGATATTTCTCTGCATCCTCAATGTGGGCTTCCATCCATGACTTGGTAAATTGGAGATGCAAATCAGAGATTGATTGTGAAATCCTTCATGAATGAATTTAAATAGTTTTGTCACAAGTTGAATATTATGGAAAAAATTTATCGCAAGGAACTAACAAAAACTAGTTATTATTTTCAACAGTTACCAAGAGTCTGCATAGATGTGAACAGAAGCGAAATCAACACCCAAAACCTGGTGGTTCCTTATGAAATCAGTTCCAACTTGTTGAGCATATGTGTTTGGATTAAACTGAACTCTGCCAGGTGCTGAGGGACCATAAAATCCTTCCAATCCGATCTCCACCAAGTGCTTTGGATCGAGGCTCTTGACATAAACAGCCATTTCTTGTATCCAATCCTACAAGACAGAACATTGCTTCAGCTACAAGAAAACGATACATTCCAATAAAACAAAGACACGCACAACCATTTGTTGAAGAGCATGAACCTGCAGTTTATCACCCGAAGGATCTGAGGTGCATCGAGGCTCGTTCATCAGTTCCCAAGCAAAAACTGTGGGATCGTCCTTGTAAGTAATGTTTGTGAGTGTGTTAACTCTGTTAAGAACCGTCTGCAGAGTGAAAGTATCAATAAATATGAACACTAAAAACCTAATTAATCAGTAATTAAAGCACAAAATCGACAATCAAAAGATGGTCAAGGCTTGTAAAAACATGCTTTAACTTGCCTTAACATGGGCCTTGTAGTAGCTTTTGAGTGTTGGATGAGAGAAGAAGTCATCATCTGAAGTCAAATTCAGACCAGCTGCTTTTCCCCATTTGACATATTGTGATTTTCCACCATATGCATCCCAGTTGTTGGTTAAAGACAATATGAGCCTGATCTTGTACTTCCTTGCTTCACTTATCACAAAATCCAAACCCTGCAACGCATTGTACGAAATTCAAATTGACTTAGAATTTGAAGAGTATTTCACAAGCATTGAACAAACAAAATGGTTAGAAATTTTTGCCTTGAAAACTTCTTCATCATAAACTGATGGAGATTTCTGAAGAGCTCGCCACTGGCCGTCGTTGAAAGCCCAAGTCCTACAAACAGTTAGACCCACTGAAAATGCCTGTTTGAATGTATCAGTGACCTTTCCTCTTGTGGATTTATCAGCAGCAAATACCATCAACCAATAAGTGTTGAATCCATTAACATAGAAAGGTTGATCGTTCACTACAAATTGGTTCCCTTTCTTCTGCACCAATTGCCACTCATCATCTTCCATGCCATCATTCAACTCTTCAATCCTACAGAAGGACATATATACACTTATACATTGTGTATATAATCAAAGTAAAACAAAAATAAAAAGGAAATGCCACTCTTATGGATACCAATCACTTGTGCTTGGATATGCTAAATGATCTTCGGCTTCCTCCACCACGGTGTCCAGTTTCTCCACTCCACTAGAACCATGGAAAGTACAACTTGAATGGTTGATGAAAATCATAAAAATGGTCACCATAAGAATGCTCTGTGACATCAAGTTTCTTTTGTGGGTATCCATGGGATTGAACTTGTATGACAATGCATGTTTCTTGGGATACGTATTTATACATGTATGGATGATGTCTACACTTTCTTGGATTGGGCTAGTACATTTGAGTGTGGGGCACCAGAAAAAGTATTGAAACTGAAGAGATGATCACATTTCAAACTTTGAAGGGAAGGCAAAAATTGCTTCTTTGCTCTGCCAATTCCTTTTCCTTCAGATCTGATTGGTCTTTCATGTGTAAGAGTAAAGTTGCAACTAGCATCAATCCCTAAGGTAGTTTCAATTGGGTCCTACAACAAAGTTGTCATGAGCAATAACAAATTAAAACAATTATCAATCTGAAATTGAAATGGGATTGATAATGTGTCTGATGGCCAAAGCTTTTTAGAAGATATTGTAATACTAATCTCTTGTTTATGTATGAATTTGGTTGAGATAATCTGTTACTATCAGTTTCAGCTCAGATGTCATTATCATCATCCCATGTTAGAGTAGAGTGCATTTGATCATCAAGAGATCCAATCTAGAACTAGAATGGTTGGTCCCATATATGCATATAAAAAAAACAAAGTTCAAAGAGAAAAAGAAAGCAAAATGGATCATCCACCTTTTTCTGCTCAAACTTGGTTTTTCTTTCACCACCTCATGAAGTAGAAGAAGAAGAAGAGAAGGAAGAGTAGGAAGCTGAAGAAAGAAATGTATGTATTTGTGTCGGTTGCACTGTACAGGTAACATGTTTCCCTTTCTCTTTTCTTTTTGCCTTTTGACATTTGGTTACAACCATGTGCGCGACGGCAAATACCTCAAATAATAGAAGGGTACATGTGATACTATCTGAGGAGTTGTTTTAACATGCAGATTTCTTTTTCTTCTTTTTTAGTCCAACAAAACATTGTGGTTTCACATTTTTAATTGCAAAACGTTGTAGTTTAAGGTCCATAGAGACATACTTGCCAAATTCTCAGTTGGGCCTTGGAATTGGGAAACAAAAGAGTTAATGAAACTAATGAATTGTTCACTTGGGCCTTTGATATTTGGATTCTTGAACGACGGTGATGCTATAAATATGAGAAGAACTTGCATATTACGGAGATAACATTGTTTTACTGTTCTCAAACAATCATGTTTTATCATGTGTAAAAATTATCGCTCGTGGCGAAACGTGATTAGTTAGAATAACAAAACATTCCTATCCCCGTAGTATAACAAATTTCTCCTTAACCACCTACATCTTGGACTTTGCCTACCACTAATGTGAGTATTCCCACATAACATCTCGAAGTAAGAATAAATATTTGGATTTTAGGCATTTGAAAGCGACTAAATTAGTTTTTTTATTTATTTACCAAATACAGTTCTTGTGTCGTTTTTATTATCACAAATTTCGCAAAATAATACGGATTGCATTTAATTAATTAATTAATTATCACTAAACAAATTCACATTGCTTTAATTTTGAGAGTTTCCTTGTCCTTGCTACTTGCTGGTAGTGCGTACCATTGCTTGCCTCCCATCCCTTGCCAATGAGGGCCAATCATAACATAACAAGACCTTTCTCTTGGTGTGTATTTTTATATCCTTTTCCATCTTTATTTAGTGTATACTTCACAATCATTAATTCATCAAATATTGTATTTTGTCTTTATTAATATGGTAATCCCAACCGACGGTCCTGATTCCATAGAAGCAGCTAAGCCTATATGCCAATGGGCCCCACACCTATATGACGCGTCCACATATTCCAACTAATTCCATTTAAAAACGCGTTTTTCCCTTCTGTGATCACTTACTCACTGATCTGGCAACAGAGCACTTTCGATTTTTGACAAATTGCGCGTCTGAAATTACTGTCCCACACGGAAGGTCAAACCCGTCATTTCACGTTCAGCCGCCACTCAATCTTAGCTGGGATGGCATGAGTTGATAATACTCAGTAAACTAATGGCTATTTAGCATATCTAAACAGCTAGTTGAGCATGTAAGAAAGACCACGCCAACCATTAAAACCAAGCTTCTTTAATTTCGGTTTCTGGTCTCTTCAGCTCTTTTCCCAAATCGCCATTTTCAGAGAGCTCTCTATCAAAGCTGAAACTTTACCAGCGAGCTTTCTCTCTCTCCGGTTCTCATCATTGACTGGTTTGATCCAGTTCCAAAAGGTAAACCACTCTTTGTTCTTGGCATGGTTTCTTTGTTCAAAGGCTAAGATGTTGTAGCTCACAGCCGCATTCCTTCAGTTTGGTCAATTGAGCTTGATTTATGATTTCTCAGTTGATTTGTTGATCTGGGTTTTTGAGAAAGCATAGATCTTGATCTTTGATAGTTGTTTTTTGTTGGGTAAAGTCAAATCCAAAGTGGGTATGAACACCACTAACGTTGAAGCGGTGTTCATCTTTGTTTTTCTTTGTCTGGCCACCACAATCCATGTTGTTTTGGCTGCTAATTATATCCCATCTGATAAAATCTTCCTAAATTGTGGTGGGCCTCCTGAAACCACCGATTCCGATGGCCTCAAATGGACATCGGATATAGGCTCTAAGTTTGCATCTGGTGCCAACTCCACCACATCCCCAGCTGCCACTCAAGACCCTGCAGTCCCTGAAGTTCCTTTCATGACTGCTAGGGTCTTCCGTTCTGAGTATACCTATAAATTTCCAGTTGCCTCGGGTCGAAAGTTTATCCGTCTTTACTTCTACCCTGCTTCCTATGCGGGGCTCAATGCTTCTAATGCTATTTTTACTGTCACTGCTCAGTCCTATACTCTCCTTAAGAACTTCAGTGTTGCTCAAACAACAGAGGCTTTGGATTATGTTTTTGTTACCAAGGAGTTTTCGGTCAATGTCGAAGGTGAGACATTGGACATTTCGTTTGCACCCTCTTCCAGCGTTGCGAACGCTTATGCGTTTGTGAATGGGATTGAGATTGTGTCAATGCCTGATATTTACAGCGCTCCTGATGGTACCATGATTGTGGGTCAATCGAGTACTTTCTTCATTGATAACAGCACTGCCCTTGAGAATGTTTATCGGATAAACGTGGGTGGTAAGGATATCTCGCCGCCAGGTGATACGGGTCTGTTTAGGTCCTGGTACGATGACACCCAATATCTCTTAGGAGCAGCATTTGGGGTTCCTGAAACTGCTGATCCAAACATGACAGTTAAGTACCCTAAGAGCATGCCTACTTATGTTGCACCAGAGGATGTCTATACCACTGCCAGATCAATGGGGCCAAATGCTAACATCAACCTCAATTACAATTTGACTTGGATTTTCTCAATCGATTCTGGATTCTCTTACCTGGTTCGGCTACATTTCTGTGAGGTTGCCCAAATTATTACCAAGGAAAATCAAAGAGTGTTCAATATCTTTCTCAACAATCAAACTGCTGAGTCTGGGGTTGATGTTGTTACCTTGGCCGGAGGCAATGGAATTCCAGTGTACAGGGATTATGTGGTGTTGGTTCCAAAGGGAAGCCCACAGGTGGATCTATGGCTTGAACTGCATCCAGACACTTCTGATAAGCCAAATTATTATGATGCAATCCTAAACGGAGTTGAGATATTCAAGATTAGTGATGCAACTGGTAACCTCGGAGGGCCTAATCTTATTCCTCTTCCGAAGCAGGATACCATTGACCCAACTAAGGCTAGACCATCATCAGGTCATGGCAAGGCTAAGAGTGATCACAAAGCAATTATTGCTGGGGGAGTTAGTGGTGGAATTGTTTTGGCCCTTGTCCTTGGTTTCTTTGCTATTTGTGTGGCATGCCACCGTAGACATGGGAAGGACTCAAGTACAAGCGAAGGGCCATCTGGGTGGCTCCCTCTGTCTTTATATGGAAATTCACAGTCTGCAGTTTCTGCAAAGACAAACACAACGGGAAGTTACACGTCCTCCCTTCCTTCAAACCTTTGTCGCCATTTCTCATTTGCCGAGATCAAATCTGCCACCAAAAACTTTGATGAGGCTCTACTCCTTGGGGTGGGAGGTTTTGGCAAGGTTTACAAGGGTGAAATCGATGGTGGAGCAACCCAAGTAGCAATCAAGCGTGGAAACCCACTCTCTGAGCAAGGGGTGCATGAATTCCAAACTGAGATTGAAATGCTCTCAAAGCTTCGCCATCGTCATCTTGTTTCTCTGATTGGCTACTGTGAAGAAAACTGTGAAATGATCCTTGTTTATGACTACATGGCTTATGGAACCCTGCGTGAGCATCTGTACAAGACCCAAAAGCCCCCTCTACCCTGGAAGCAAAGGCTTGAGATTTGTATTGGAGCTGCTCGTGGTTTACACTATCTTCACACTGGTGCCAAGCACACCATCATCCACCGCGATGTAAAAACAACTAATATTCTTTTAGACGAGAAGTGGGTTGCGAAGGTTTCGGATTTTGGGCTGTCAAAAACAGGTCCTACATTGGACAACACGCACGTCAGCACGGTTGTAAAAGGCAGCTTTGGATATTTGGATCCAGAGTACTTTAGGCGGCAACAACTGACAGAAAAATCTGATGTCTACTCATTTGGGGTTGTTCTATTTGAGATCTTATGTGCTCGTCCAGCCTTGAACCCGTCACTTCCAAAGGAGCAAGTGAGCTTAGCAGAGTGGGCTGCACATTGCCACAAGAAAGGCAGTCTCGATCATATCCTTGACCCTTATCTCAAGGGGAAGATAACACCAGAATGCTTCAAGAAGTTTGCTGAGACAGCAATGAAATGTGTGTCAGATCAAAGCATTGACAGGCCATCAATGGGAGATGTGCTTTGGAACCTTGAGTTTGCTTTGCAGCTACAGGAGAGTGCTGAGGAGAGTGGCAAGGGTATTGGTGCAATGGAACTTGAGGAAGAGCCGTTCATGGCCTGCAAAGGGAAGAAGGACCCTGATGCAGTGCCTGCCTTTGATGGTAATGTGACAGACTCGAGGAGCAGCGGGATGAGCATGAGCATAGGTGGCCGGAGCCTAGCTAGCGACGACTCTGATGGATTGACACCAAGTGCTGTGTTCTCACAGATCATGAACCCTAAAGGACGTTAAGAAGATTGAAGATATGGCTCCTCCCTTAATCAATCAGGCAATGAAGTTTGCTGTATTTCTTTTTCCAACTTTTTATTCATTTAAGTTACTGTTATTTTCTAATCTTATTGGAGTCTTCCAATATGATTTGATCACGTTTAGTTGTAATTTTGTATCTATAGTTACATGAAGAGTTTGAAAATAATGTTTCCTACTTCTACTTGCTTTGGTTAGACGATTGTTGATTTGGCTTCTATATGTTCTTATCCTTTGGTATCATGGAGTGTTTTAATAAAAAGAACAGCTTAAAAGAGATGAATTCATGTATGCGTTGCCGTTGTCCAGGACCATAGGCCATGATTGCTCGTCATATATTAAATTATTAATGTCTATAATGCGAGAGAGAGAGAGAGAGAGAGAGAGAGAGAGAGAGAGAGAGAGTTTCATATGTTTCATTTCCTTATGTATGTAATGTTGAAGAATATTTCTGTTAAGCCGCGCTGGCAAGACGTGAGAAAGACTGCATTTTAGTGCGATTGTGACTTCGTTCACGCGGCTATTTGGTTTGTGAAAGGGTTGACCCCATGTGAAAGAGAAAATCATCAATAGATTCAAAAATCTATCTTTACCCAACTTCATTATGCATAAGAATTATGCTTTGCGTTCGAACAAAAAAAAAAAAAAGAATTATGCTTTGCAATCGATTGACAGCTGCATACCAGGTTTGTTAATGACTGTCGCTAGCATCTCTCTATATGCGAGTCACGATTGTTTTGATGACCATCGCTAGTATCTTGTTATGCGTAAGTCATGATTGTTTGATTGTTGATGAGTACATCGCTAGTATCTTGTTATGCGTAAGTCATGATACGCATGTGTTTTATTTTTAAGTCCACATTGATCGATTGACAGCTGCGTATTATGCTTGTTGACAATTGTCGCTAGCATCTCTCTACATGTGAGTCACGATTGTTTTGACTGCTATATATCTCTTCATGGATTTTTAAGTCCACGTTGAAACGGTCGTCGTATTATTGAGTTGAGAGAATTGATGTGTCCACACGAATTTGCAAGAGAACGTTAGACCACTTAAAGAGAAAAGACAGTAGAGACAAAAAGCTCAGGTTGTGGACTTGTGGTTGCATTGCATATACTGTCTCTTTCAGCCGAACCCTCTAGCCCTCTAACCCAACAACCGTGAGAATTCGATATTCTTTGACACTGCAAGCAATAGAATAGAGTGAAACTGATGTCTGATGCAAAAGGATCTTTGGATTTTCAATCTGGAAAGATGTTCATACGATTGGTCGTATTTACAATCCAAGACCAACATACAAAAAACAATTCCACGCCAAATATATCCATCAACTCGCAACAAATGTAAAAGGAGACATTCAATGACCTCAAAATGACATAGAAACCCCTAGTCATTTCTGACACGGGGCAGAATCTACTATGGAAATTATCTTCTTCTGCAACTCTGGCTTGTTGGCTCCCACTAGCTTGTCGATTTGCTGGCCATCCCGAAGGAAGAAGAAAGTGGGAGTGGCTTTGATATCCCATGAAGTACTGAAATCCTGCACCATACAAAACCAAATGTCAACCACCTGTGAATAAGATATATTTATGATAACACATTAAACCAGCACCAATCTCCCGGAAACATCACAAAACTAGTTGGGAACCATAAGTATATTAATGAGTAATTTGATTGCCACGCATATGGTCAGAGGTAGGTAAAGTCTCTGTCCCAAGAGCAGAACTTGCATGCAATAAATTAATAAACTATTACATTAACAATATCCCTAAACACTTACAGTCAGTTCATCAACATCGATCACAAGGAACATTAGAGAAGTGTATTGCTCCGATAACTCGCGATATAGTGGTGCAATCATTTTGCAAGGACCACACCATGTTGCACTGAAGTTTGCAATCACCTGTTGGACATAAGAATTTCAGTTTAGATAAAGAGCTAGAAGAAAAAGCTAACAAATCATTCAAACTAAACTTGCCAACCAAGTCACAGGTAAGAATTCATGCAAACCAGCACCCAATCTAGTAAACCTATGTAATGCATGACAATAGCATGGACCTATAATGTTTAATTGGGAGCAAGTTGCAGAGAGGAGTTGTTCACTGATGCATTTATGACCACGCATTCTTAACATTGATATCTACTTGAGACAAGACTACAACATTATTTGACAGAAAATCAGCTGAATATCTGTAACAAGACCATACAAAGCAAACTCAAGTTCTTTAAGGAGGAGCCAGGATTCTATAACACCCTAAGCTGTCTTTGATTGCACCCAATTGTACTCCTGATCAGATTAAGAAGACTGCATATTAGCATTTTTCATCAGATCATGTCGCTAATTAGTGGGAGGGTCTAAATATTTAAATAAATAAAAAAGATCTCTTATTATCAAGAATCAGATTTGTTACAACTTACAGGTCATCTATTTAAATATAGAATACCCATGTGTATGGATGTTCCATTGAAGAATGGAACTAAAAGGTCCCCTTGGTTGATATTTTGCTCATAATTGGTTTAAATTCTTTGCGAAGTTGAGTTCCTGGATATTGCCACACTTGGTTCTCGATATCCATTTTCACTTGCCAATCAAACTTTAAAATTGACAGCCTGGACAAAAACTTTTCAGTGGATTAGAGGATCTACAAAGATTTGATAATCATATTGTTCTCTCCTATCATATTTGGCTCTTAAACGTGCACCTTTGGGTGGGATCCCATCTGAGGTCATGGGACTTGCATCGTCATTCGTGAGTCACAATCTATTTTGTTGTCACTAACCCCAAAATTCTTAATGATTACCGGATTCTAAATGTAGTAACTCATTACTGATAGAAAACACTGACGTTGGTTCAGTCAAAGGCTTAAAGTACATCACAAATTTGAAAACGAAGTACCATATGCCATTCAACACAATTCATTTCTCTTGAAAGGAAAAATGTGATTAAACTTACAGTTTTGCCATCCCTTTTTGCTTCTTCCATCTTTTGATCCCAACTTTCTGTGGTGGTGATGAGGTGCACATTCGCACCAGTAAACTCAGCACCACTTTGTTCAGAATCCTGTTCTTTAGTTTTACTCTACAAGTATCATGAAAGTCATAACTTGTCAGATTTCTTTAAAAAGGCAAAACAATAAACACTAAGTGGCATACAAAATGCTTCACAATCGTAAAAAAAGCACCAAAATCATTGGAGAGATCAATCATATAGTAGTAAATTTTTCTTGCTGCAATATAAATTATTAAAGGCTAAATACAGAAGGAAGAATATAGAATTTTAGTGCATGCATTATAGTTAAAGAAACTGATTTATTGCACAATGTTTATCTACTATCTTCATAAGCTTGACAGGCGATGCAGACTTGTCCTAATCTGGCTAGGAAGATATTCTATTACTAGCAATTAATACCTGCAAAATCTCAAGTTCTTAAAAGAAAATAATAAACACTGACCTTGCTCACGCAAGCTCCCATCTTGATCACCAACACCAAACTAGTAACAGAGCAGCACCCTGAAAGCTTAAACAATCCATCAATTTCATTGGGGCAAATGTAAAATACATGCCATAATGCATATCGATAAAGAAGAACGTTGAGAAATAACATATGACAGATTGATTGTTGGATCTACTCAAATTACAGGTGATTTCAGCCACCCTTCTTTAAAGGGCATGCTTTCTTTAATTCAATTAGTCTCTCAGTATAGACATGGACATTTTATCATTTCAACAAGCATCATCCAAGTATTGTGCTCAAAGTAAGAAAGTAAACAAACCCATGAAACTGAGTGTCAATAGAAATATCAATAGCAAGTACTAAACTTTTAACAACAAGAACCAAAATTTGGAACATTTATCAATGTAACTTCATGCCCAGAACCCCATCATCTTCTGAAATTTTAAGGGAACACGTAGAAGACATCAATTAACAAAAAACAGCTGTGTAAAATTACCTTCTTTCATTGATGAAACACTCAATTTGCACCTCATAAAAGAAAAAGGCAACCAATTTCGTTGGCAATAAACATCTTATTATGCATTGGTTGGAAAGAATTGATAATTTACAGCAATATTAATTAACTGTCAAATTACCTTTAGAGTACGACCGAATTATTGAGCAAAATAATCCGCCATTACAAGGCGAGGATGAAGAACACAAAATGTGAATTCGAATCGAGTGCGTGCAATTTGAGAACAGCGAAGGTTAGCCCAGAGAGAGATTTTCGAAGCTCAAACCGCGATATAAGAAAATTTGGAGAGACAGAAGACGATGATTGTTAGAAGAACCAAACCTTACAGTAAAACAGAAGATGGTTTTTTCTTTGTCTGAAATTACGTGACGGTTTTGGGTCATAAGTTTAACTCGTTAATTCCATTTCCAGCTCAAGACCTAAGCTTTGATTAGCCTTTTGTTTAGACCTTTAATTATGTAAATTTATTTGTATTTATTTATTCTACTTTCCATTAATAATTTAATATTCCACTCTTTGTTTGTAGGCCCCGAACCTTATCTTTTCTTTTTTCTTTTTTGTGGTCATATTTTAACTTATCATTTTATTCTGTTCCGTTGAGACCTCTTCATAAATGAATTCTTCTATTCTTTAAAAAAACCTAACAAATAATGAGATTATGCCTTGATTAATTGCACACTTCATTCCCATATTATTTGTTAATTGCCCGTAATTCCCTCCATGATCAACCTGGTCAACTCCATTGTTGGACCAAATAAAACTTTGATTAACTCCATCAAATCCCCATCATACCATAATTACCTTCGTCGGGCTCAAAGTTACCTTCACAAGCAAAAATTTCTCTCTAATCACCCTATTTTCTTCATATATCTCTTAATTCACGAGATGAGGAAATACAATAATAATATTATAGGCGTAGTGTAAGTAGTAAGTTTTCTATCGCCGGAGTTAGAGGTCTCTAATGTAACAGTTAAGTCCTAACCTTATTTACTTGTACATTGCCGGTGACATAATGCTATGTAAATTTTAATACGATACATGTTTTAAATGATTAGATGAAAATCTGGAGAAGATTTGGAAGTTGGAGCAGAGGTGGGGCATTGAGCTAGCTTTGCCAGCCTATTGACTGTTGTCTTTCCGTTGAAAGGCACAACCTTTACAGCTGGTCCAAGTCTCCAAGAAACCGTGTGTGGGCAAACAGGACGAGATTAATTAGGCATATCGCTTGGTCCCATAATGGAGACGGCCTAACTGTTAAACTTGCTTGTAAGAATTGTAACTAATAATTAATCTATTACCAAATAATAAAATATAATATGGTCAAATTATGCTGCCCCACACATCATCTAAACATGGTTTCATGGCTAGAATGAATATGTTGTGTATGGTTGGAGGAGGGCCCCTCTTGCCTCTCCACCCTCCTAAGTGCTGATAATCACCCACCATTTTGATTGAGTAGTTGCAACTGTTGATGTAAGTGAATTCGATAACGCATTCATGTCTTACAATTATTCATAAATGACAATTATTCATGCATTTGTGAGTGATTGTCCTTACAATTCTATTCAAATCCCCTTTTTTTATTGGATTTTTCTCACGCATTTGAGCGACTGTTCTGTCCTTACATACCTCTGCAACGATCGAAACTCAATATTTTAAAAAATACATTTTAATCAATGGTTCGAAGACGAGCTATCAAATAAACCTTTGTGTTCATTGGACCACACACGTAAGGTAGTGACAACCGTCTCCAACCTCGGCGCACAGAATAGTGTATTTTCCTCCCCATGTAAACCAATTCTCAATAGAACAATATACAAGATGAAGCAAATGGCAAATTTAATTAATAAATTATGGTTGTATTACAATATCAATTTATTGATGAAGAGGGAACAACAAACCAAACAGTTCATCGGATTCTATATTTCTTAATCTTTTCAGATACAAGAAGAAATGGCAGAAACAAAAACAACACCGATTCCTCAGTTGATGGAATTACACTTCAAAAACTACATTGAAAAGTCTGTCTAGAAAGCTGGAAGGAGCAACACCAAACAATAATTAAGGTCCTGGTAAAACCAGAATTACATCCCATTCAAACCTTTCATTTTTGTGATATAACTAAACAGGAGAAGAACAAAGATTTATTCTTCCCAAATTAAGCCATCCCCCAACCTGTCCCTCCCCCCCCACACAAAATACAAACTCTAAATCTGGAAAAACATCTTCATCCCATTGCATACTTCTGAGTCCAGCTACGTGCAGTGGATTCATACTTGGCTCGATCGGTTTTATACATGTGGGCAATCTCCGGCACAAGAGGGTCATCAGGATTAGGGTCAGTCAACAGTGAGCAAATTGAGAGCAATACCTGATTTTACATTAAAAATGGGGTTAGTAAATACAATTCCAACCATAAGATAACCTTCATAGAAAAGAAACAGATCCCCTTTCTTTTGTTTTTTTAACCTCTAAGTTTCAGTGTCACTTTAAGTTATCATAAATAAAGGTATGGCTGTAACAAAAAGTATGAACTGGGAAAGCCAAGAATGATATATAGTCGTCAATCATCTTATGCAACATCTTCAAAGTAACGTCGTCAACTCCTTATAGAAAGAATGGGCAAAATATTGAACGGCTTTTAGCAATAAGAAAGTCAGAGGGAAACAGAGACACGTATATATTGCTCTAATTCTAACATGATAAATGTTGGAAAGAGACATAACTGCAGCCACCTGCTTGTGCTTGTCTGGTAGTATATGCAAGAATTTCAAATTCAGACAGATGATTTACAGAAAGCACAGACAAGCATCTGTCCTTTTGAGACTTCTTCTATATCTATCTATATATCCATCTATATATGCATCAAAGCAGCAGATATACGAGTTCCAGATCAAATGAGAATACAAAGACAAAACAATGTTATGCAGGATAAATTGAAACCTTAGAGATAGTTAGTGCTGGGCTCCATTGTTCTTTAAGGATATCAAGACAAATGCTACCATTGCTGTTGATATTTGGGTGGAAGACCTTAGTCCTAAATGCAACCTGAAAACATGAAATTACCGTTAGTATCCTTCATCAACAAACAATCGTCAGACACACCGACACAACAAAGCAGGACCAAACGTTGCACATAAGATGTATGAATTACCTTAGGGGGCTTGAAAGGATAATCAGGAGGAAAATGAATGGTGACTAGGAACACACCTCCTGCATATGGGCTATCAGGGGGTCCCATAATCGTAGCTTGCCAGTGAAACATGTCCTCAGCCACAGGACCTAAATCAAATTAACACATAATTTATTTAAATATCCACTTGGGTACTTATATTACCTGTAATTACATTAATCATTCAACAAATCAATGAAATCAACATGCGCCGGCAACCACATCTCTACAAAATGTGTCAATTTATCATATGAAATTAAAAAAGTTTTGAACTTCGAGTGTAAGATCATGACAAAAATACTAAATTACAAATTTTGAAATTGAAAAAAGTACCGGCGCTGCAAGAAGTTGGAGGATCTTTCTGCAAATCCTTAAGCTCTTTCAAGATGCGCTTGGAGGCCATGATGAAATTGAATTGATTACAGTTTAAAACTCACTTCTCACAACCCAGGACCTGCAAAGCTGCATCAAACAGCAGTTTCAGATTCAATCAGAACAATTTCTATAAACACATAACCAAAATCAAAACAATTTCTCAATTTTGAAAACAAATTATCGTCAAACCAAAACAACTTTCCATACATGAATACCTGAGATCGGACTGAAATAGCGGTAGCAGAGGGAAACGGGTTTGAAGAAGATCCGGAGCCGCCTCCCAAAGCTCCGCTACCAACAATACGATCTTCGACCCCCTGATTTTTCTACACAAAAACTCGGAGAGACTTTGGGGCTTTATTTTTCCACCGGTTTTATACACGCCCCGTTTTCACCGTCTCTCGCACTCTGTTTTCTTTTCCCTTCTTATCCGTTACTTTTTTTCTTTCCTTTTTTATATTTGGGCCGTTATTTACGGCGGCTTTCTAATTTTAAATATTTAAATTTGGTGTGAAATTTTGTGGTCCAAGTCGGCGGGTTTGGACTCCGACTTACCTAATTTGGATCCAACGATTAATTGGATAATTTCAGCTCACCCCATTCAACTCCCAGCCCTTTTTGTATGGGGTGCCCTCATCTACCAACTTTAACCAAACCAATAAATACATAAATAATTGAATTAAGTTCAAGATGTTTAAAATGATTAAATTGAGCTGTAATGACCAATGAATATAGAGTTCAACAGGAAGAAAAAAAAAATTATAGTTGTAAATCGTACTTATTATCTAAGTTGAATAATGTCCAATGTTTAAATGCCGACGCTCTCACATATGAATCACCCTCCTATTTCATATATATTGTAAGCTTTAAATCGGAAATTGTAACTTGGCTATGTTTAGTGGGGATGAATACCTCCTCAAAACACTAATCGGGTGACTCATGCAGGATCATCAATAGGTATGCTAACGGTAATACCGGTAAGTTGGGTCATGAGGTCACTACACCAGCATCTCTTGTGGGAGTTCTAGCTTATGATGAGCTTCCTTGCTAACTGGCAGCGAATGACATCTCTAAATGTTTTATGCTTAACGGGAATTGAGCTCCTCACTATGCTAATTTGAGGGTGCTAGTCTTGTTTTATTCATGTATTTCTTGCGAATGAACGCTTAATCTTTTACTCGCTTGTTGCCTTTAAGCCTAATGAAAACTACTTTTGACAACAACAAAAAAGAGTTGGAAATTGCAACTAATTTTAATTACAAGTTAACATTTATTTTGATTAGGTTAATATTTTGTCAAACCAAGTCTAAACATTGCTTTTTATAACCCCTTTTTATTCTATTCCTCTTGTTTGCCACACATCATAATCATCTCTTTTTTGTTTAAGTCACATTAATTAAGGATATGTTAATTGAATTTCTCCTCAAAGTGGGCAGCTGGGTTGCTTATAAAAAGAGCAAACAATAAATGGTAATTTCTCCTCAAATCAAATCCAATATTCCAATCGAAAATGGAAGAGGAATATGCGCTTTGATTTGATAGCATTTGCCTTCTCGACGGGGCCGGGTCGCTAGTCACGTGGCTCCCACATGCGTTGTGCGTTTGGTGTTCCCAAGTCAACGTGAAAGTTGCGGTAGCGTCCGTTTCCCGCAAATGGTAACGCCGTAAGTCCGTAACGCACTGACTTCCTTCCGTCACTGCCTTTAACGAGAAAGTTAGAAGCTACGGTACGACCGACCACTATCCAGGACGATCAAGCAACGAATCATATACGGCCAAGTCACCACGTCAATAATCTGCTGCTTCCCACTCCATCAACATCCAAATAGACTCGTATCCATGAGTTATTACACTGATAGAAAATAAATAAAAACGCG